CTGTAGCTTATCTGGGGGAACATAATTGCCGAAATTCGTCCGAAAATCCTTCGTAACTTCAGTTGTTTACGAATAGCGGCATAGAGTCGGTTGCCCATATTTGGTCGTAAAGTGAAACGTCATCGTTGTTTCTAACCAATCACCAACGAGGAATTGTATTAGCCAATCAGGCTCAATGACTCAAAAACGTTGCCGTGATTATAATCAATCACGGATACATAGGCTAATGACCCTCTGCGCCCTGTATCAAAAGCGACTTCTAGCAGTCGGTAAAATTGTTGCATGTAAAATGCCCCTCAAGTACCTGCAATAATTCTATGAACTGCTAGAGGCCCTCATTGACACGTGTTATGAATTGGCATTATGGCGCCTGTGGATGCATCACTGCAACTAAAACGTGAGGGAGTAAGCTTAGTAAAGAAGGGTACCGGTGCACGTTCGCCAGGAATGGAAAGATTCTTCTGAACACCTCAGGTATGAATTATTACACTTCTAGAAAGGGTTTGGTGGAAAATGGAACGGGAAGTTTATGCGTTTATGCGTTTTATTGATGTTTGTTTCATTTTTCGTTACTGAACATATTTTCATTGATTTTGTTCTTGTTATCAGTTCTAAGCGTCCAGAATTCACCTAGACGTGAGTAAGGATCATATAGAAAATATTGCAACAACTAGTTCTATAATTGTTTACGTTATTTTTTCTTTAAACGCTAAGATTTACACCCAATCCTGCCTACATTTAACCATGCATACATGTATCTACATGATTCGCCTGGAGGATTACGTAACTACCTCGCATGACGTAATGCGGCACCTGGACTTAATGTCTGCATACTTTTGAGCCTCATTATCATATGAAATCCGCTGGTTTGATTGGTCCTCCTTTTAATTGAATTATCTCTCAGCTAAGACCTGTCAAATGACCATTTTATTGAATATCTGTTGTAAATCTAAGACTTGCTTCGCCACAAGCGTCCTTTTAGTCACAATTTGCGGACGTTATGATACTAATATAATAACTTTGTGATATTATGGTTGATCCAGAACAAGTTGAAACTATTAAATGTTACATATTTTTTAGTTTAACAATCGTCGATAAAGAGAAATGAACATTCTAAGACAAGATCGAAGTAATATTCTACACGTATGTCGCCAGTCATTAATAGACATTATAGACGTATTCCTAAAAAAAGGCATGCATTTGTCGCAATAGCTGTATGTTGGTAAGTTGTCACCTACTGGCTAGAAAATGCTCTTATCGCAATGAAGGTAAATGGCCTGGGTCAAACAATGATCGTTTATTATGGGTTCACCACACCACGAAGTTGACCACACCTTTCTAGTTGAAAAATAGTTTCTCCTCAAGTTGAATGATGAGGATAGAAAAATTGAGAATTTTGAATTCGTAAGATGAAATCCATAATTAAATCATCGTATTTTTTCAGGCCTGCATGTGTGGTGATTGCCTAT